TGCCTAAAAGGAGGAGGCAAGGCAAAGCTGCACCTGAAACAGAAAAACAAAACCTGGCCTTGAAGCTGCAGAGGAAGGCTCAAGCCCTGGAGCCCATGGAAAAGCAACGGCTAAAACTTCCATGTTTTTTCCATCGGTTTTCCATCGGTTTTCCCTCATAGATTTCCGACAGGTTTTCCCTCGGTTTTTCCATCGATTTCCCACAGGTTTTCCATCGGTGTTCCATCGGTTTTCCTATGTTTTCCCATATGTTTTCCCATAGGTTTTCCGTAGGTTTTTATTCCCCCAGGATCTCCTTGTGGCGGCCAAGTCCCCAACGGAAGCGAACCAAGCGAACCAGGTGCTGTATCTCCAAGCGAACCGACTTTCGCGCATCGAAAACCTGGAATGGCTTCCCAGGTGAGGGGATCGGTGGAGCACTGGGGAGAACGATCCCGAAAAATTGGACGAATAGGTTGCATATTGGACGAATAAAGGCTACCATATGCTTGGTATATAGTATCAATATGTAGTAATATGATACTCTCAACTACAGTTGAACTACAAGGGGTCTGGAACGGGGTGTGCGCCCGAAAAGCGCTAGGGTCTGAAATGGTGTTTGTACCCTTGTAGACCTTTGGGTTTTGTACCATTGTAAACCTTATCATCTTGGATGCAACATATTAGGTTTCGACCTCACGACCATTATAGACCTGTTTGGGGTGTTTTCATTTTAGACCGAACCCGTTGAGGAAGTACTTGGGGCTTTCTAAAAGAACGCAAGTTATTCACATCACGGCATAAGCCCTACTCTGCATCTTGGGTTGTGCCCAGGATCTGAATTTATGTTTCCCATTCTGCAACGTAAACATATTGACATAAACCAAAGAGAACACATTTGAGACCCAGCCCCATGGTGTCGTAAACACCAGAAACACACCCAACTCGTAGAATCGTAGAATGGATCTAGGGAACAAAGATTCCCACTCAGCATTGTATACATACTAACATGAAAGCACAACTGACACATGTGAGACCCGAGCCCATTGGTAGCATGGACCCGGGGGTCTGACATGAAGTTGCCCACCTTGTGATGTGAACATACCAACATCAAACCAAGGAGAAACCATATGAGACGCAGCCCCATGGTGCCGTACACGGCAAACATCCCTCCAGTCCACCTGATTCTTCGAATGGACCCGGGCCTGTAATGTAAACATAATAACATGAAACACACAACCTGCATCCTTGAAAACGCACGAATAAATGCTCATTTGAGAAATTCATGCTTTTTGAGCGGTTTTTCTATGTTTTTCTCCTAATGAGCTTCATTTCATCTTCGTTTGCCTGGTCGGCCTCTTCGTTTTTCATTTCATCATCATCCATGACATTCTGGTTAAAAGAAAAAGGGCTGTTAGAGCATTCTCCAGTTCTCCAGAGTCAAAATTCACGGTCTGACCAGCCAGCGTCTCAGATCATGTGACCCAACCCAGTGAGCGGAAAATATTGATTTCATATTGGGGGAACGATTTGAGACCTCGTCAATGTGAAAAAAACACATATGAGTAAAGATCATTGCGCACAGAATTTCATTTGTTTGGCGAAAGTGATGCAGAAATAATATATATATATATGTATATGTGTGTGAAGATGATATATGATACATATATATATAGGTAAACAACATATTTTATAAAAATATAGTATACATACATATATTGATGTAATATATGCATAATGTGTATATATATATTATGAATTATTCTATATATAGAACATGTAGAAAGTAGCGAACCAGGGTCTGAGATAATGTGACCCACCCTGGGGAGCTGAAAATGCTGGATTTCACATGAGGATAGATTTTCTGATCCATCTAGACATTTGCACAAACATATGCAAAACACGTTGATGCACAGTCTGTGCCGACTGTGACGGAAAATACTGTAGTTGCTGTTGAATGTGTGCAGGGTCTGAATGTTTGTGACCACGATAGGTCTGAAATATGTTCTGCTCACTTATGTTTGTTTATTTTCATTTTATGGCTTCGACCTTTCATCTCAGACCCTGCCGTTGCAACTCCCAGGGTTACTTTCCTCCCCTTCAAATCACATGTGGGTCTGGGAAACTTTATTTTAGACCCCATTTTCGGGGTCTTACAATGAAAGTGCAAGGGTCCTTGCCATGTACTTGATTGAGGGTTTGTAATATGACAATCCCGTAATAACCCTTATATCTATGATATTACGCTTCGGCGGGGAAACTTCGAGGAGATGACCCTAAAATAAACCATCTTAAGCCATGAAACTATCAGCAGGAAAATCTGTTGAAAAAAAGGTTTTGAAGTTAACCTTCAGAGGAAAGAACCTATCATTGAGGAAGCGTCCGGACCAGAATAACTCGAAGATGAACGATGTAAGAGAGATGGGGTTACCAATGAAAAGTGTATTTTTATCAGAAACAGCGGGGAATACATCAAGCGAAATCAACAAGTAAGTATGCTTCGAAAGTTACTCTGTCCGAAGACGCATGTCCAATACAGCACATTGATTGAAGGGATTCATCGCTGAGACGGGTTCATCTTGGTTTTTGGGTCTTGATCTTCTTATCTTTGGGCTGGTGGTGCGCGAGTTGTGATCGATGAAGTTTCTTATGATTTCATCTGATCATGTCGAAGATAGTTGATTACCACAAACGATTCACAAACAATACTAATCGATGGGTATCGTTTGATTCAACTCAGTCGCTGTGATTGTCACATCTTTCAACGAAAGCATTCTTGGGAAAGAGTCTCGGTTTCATGCATGTGTTGATCCAACGGCCGTCGATCATCGGTCGATCATCGGTGAAAGCATGTTTATCTCTTCCGTCGTAGAGGAGTTCTGATTATAAGTTTCCTCCCGCTCGATCTATCAACCGCCCTTGCAATGCCACCCATGGTGAATACGGATGTGAAGATAGTCGTGACGAGTTGTGGCGAAGTCAGGTTGAAAGGTGATCATGGCTGCTGGTCAGCGATTCGCCACCCTCATCTCAAATATGTCGAGTCGTTCATGGATGATACGTGCCGTGGGAAGCACGAGTGGGCCTTTGAATTTGACTCGACCTGCAAGAGGGCTCCTCGTGGAGGCAACGAGTTCTGCAAGCATGCGGATGCCTGAACGAGTTGACGCAGACTCAGGTCCAAGGCGAGTGCGAGTACGGCGCGTCATTCAACCCTGAAGGTCGGTTGCTTTGGAAAGCCCACATGCCGAATTGGAGAGAACCATCTACCCATCCGAGTGAAATTCGTGCACGCACCAATGTCGATCAAGTTTTCGGCATCATGCATCAGGATGGTCTTCCGAAGCGTGCGATGCGCACAGCGCGAAGGCTGTTCTTTGTTTATTATGCTGATCCTGGTGGCCACCGTTGTCGCACGCGGGCCGACAGAATCTTCTGCAAGAACCGGACGGCGCACAGGCGCAATATTTTTTTAAAGGAATTCGGCGACTGTCTGCCCTTGCCAATCGTCTTGCTGGCTCGACGCCTGAGGACGCAGAAGCGCTGGCACAGATTTTGCATGGACCGGGATTATCGGCGAAGCCCGAAGAAATTGCTTAAGTCTTACCCTCGCGAATATCGAGGTAAGCCTAAAGCCCTGGTCGCTGACATTCGAACTCTCGATCCTGAGGTTTGGCACAGGGATTGGAATTTGAAGAGAAGGCACGAACTTGCATTCGAATACGGTCGCTTTTTGACTAGGAAGCAAGTTCAGCGCCTTCTAGCCGGCCCTGGGCAACCAAGATCCAGCACATAGAGTCAATGATTAGAAATCATCGGTTTATCCCTGTGTGCATTTCCACTATGAAATGGCTTGACCCATGTTCCATTCCAGTGGCATTTTTCTAACAAAAGGATGCATTTTGTAAGTACATTTTTCTGGTCAACCATGCCATTTTGTAAAAAGTTTGTTTTTTGCTGGGCGAATCATTTTGTAAGAGCCAACTTTCTTTACAAAATGAACTCGGGGCCAATCATTTCATAGCGCAATTTTGGGTTCATTTCAGGCAGTGCAAAAAAGGGTATTGAAATCTTGGCCATGTCCAGGAACCAGGGTTTCTTCTCTAATTTTTTTGGGTTCCACCATTGATGTGTGAAGAACCGGCAAGACACCACTAAGTCAACCAACCAGAAAAGGTGATATCAAACTTTTTGTTTTTTCCCAAACTTTGGGGACTGTGAAAAAAAAATGCGGGGTTCCCTGGGGAAAGTTGGACTTGTACAAGTAAGACATGTTTCCAAACAAACTATTTTTTAAGACACTTGGGTTTGGGGCCTGGAAATTAACTTGGGGCAACCATTTTGTAAGGAGCCGATTTTGTTTTTTTTGGTTCACTGGTGTTTGCTGGGGAATCACACCAAGCCTGGTGCCCAACTCATTTTGTAAACCCCTAACCATGGATGTTTGTAAGGTTAACTCCTGGGTCCCTTACAAAATGGTTGCCTTGGGTCAGGGGTAAATGTGCAGGGGGATATCGGTTTAATTATACAATCATCAGTTTTTCATGGAGCGATGAATCACTATAGTAGTGTTCAACGTTTATGCGCTGTTGTTAGTGGACGTTGCGCTGGAAGCAAGTGCAGGATCGGGAGTGTCGACTTTTGAGAATGTTTGCGATGAACCATTGTGAGATGCTCATTCAATGTGGAATCAAGCTGGTCTTAAAGTAAAGCCATGCTGTGTTTTAATGAAAATTCACCTTCGTCAATCTTTTGCTGGGACTTGCCTCAGTCAGTTGGTTTGCGCCGAGTCGTTTGAAGGCGACGCCTCTGACTTTGGCAAGTGTTTCACTCCGATTTTGCGTCTCCGAATTTTGCGTCCGAGTCATCAGCAAAAAGCATTGCAAGCTCGACCTTCGAGGCGGGGAAACACGATCAGATGAAGTTGTTAATATTTTGGAAAAATCCTTTGCGGTGATAAAGATTGGTTTGAACATGTTTGAAGCATGTTGGATTGCTCCTGGCAACCTGGGATCGGCGCCATGGCTATGGAGGTCACCTTTCCAGGACGGAACGTTGAATCCTTACATAGCTTTGATGTAACTGGCCCATTGTGTTCCATTGTTTTCAATGATTTGCCTGTAAAAAAAATGAAATGGTGATTTTCCACGGCACACTGTTGAATTGCCAGAGTGGTCATTGACCACTTTTGTGGTTCAATGGATTGGTTTATTTTGTGACCAAAAACATATGGTTTCCTGTAAATTTATCCTCGACAAGTCAATCCATCGGTTTCTTATTGCCAGGCTGCAATTCTTGGCCTTGCAATGCAATCGCATCGCCGGGAACCTCGGAAGATCCGGAGACACCACCTACATGTGATATTTACTTCTGTTCATTGCTCTTTTTTGTGGGGTATATAATATATATATATGTATATTTGTATATATATATATATGTATATATCATTTTATATCTACAAACTCCTCTAGGCAGAAACAAGTGCCTAACCTGCCTGTAGGCATTTATTTCTGCCGATTCCCAGAATAAATGCCTAGGCCCAAAAAAAATGCCGAGGCTGATAAATTTTTGTGTGGTCTTGTCATGTTGTTCAGTGCAGAAAAATGTTTCGAACACAATTCTGCCTAATTCCGTTTTTTTCCGCCTAGATTCCGGTTTTTTCCGCCTAATTTCCAGGTAAAAATGCCTAGGCACAAAATGATGTCGGAGCACAAAAAACATCTTGAGATAAAAATGCCTACATCAATATAAATCTGCCGAGTTTTGCAAACTTCCGGGTGAAAGTGCCTATGCGGCTGCCTAGGCGCCGAGGGCAGAAAAAAGTGCCTAAGGGTTCTTCTAGGAGACAGATAGATAGATAGATATATATATATATATTATGACCATGGGCAAAGAATATCTTACCTGGAGCAGTGTGTGTGTGTGTGTGTCTAAAGCCACTCCGCTCTGAATCAATGGCTTCAGCGCTCCTCATGCCTCTTCATGGAGCCCTGATGCGCATGCCATCGCATGCCTATACGGTATGTGTGCGTTTATAATGAATTAGTTGTGAGAACACAACAAAGATGGGGGGCATTTATCATTTGCTTATTTAACATAGCTATCGAAACCATGGCCCGTAGAAATAGATAATAAACATGACAATTTACTATGAAAACATTGCAATGTTTCAGTCCGCGACGTTAAATGACCAGAGGGTATTCCATATAATCCCCCAAAAACTTGTGCCATGACTTGGTCCAGAAAAATGGACCATTTCTCCAGTGAGGCAGTCGTGGAGAATTTGACCTGCTTGACATCTTTGGAGTTTTTGGATCTTTCCAGAAATGCCATCGTTTGGGACACCCAGAGGGGATCCAAGTTGAACATGATGTCCGAGAGTGTGACCCATGACGGATGAAGACCATATCCAATATACTGAGTTTTGATATGTTGGGAAAGAAACAGCACAAGCAAGACCCATATCTCCATATCTTCGAGTAACTGTCAGAATCTTTGCTGCTGTACCAGGATACAGTGACTTACATCCGGCCACTTGTTGGGAATGTGACCGTGGCAAAAAAAAAACGATAGCCAGACATTATTGAACGATCTTGGTGTGTTGTTGGGTATACACTTATGTTTGGAATCTCTCAATCTACATACAAATGGTACTCAAACATTTGGCAAAGGAAGTCTGCACGTCTGATCCCTGAACTTTTCGGCGAAAGCAAATACTGATCATAAGACTTAGGAGCTATGTAGAAGTTGGATATATGGAAATAGTACCTATACTGACTCCAAGGTCTATATTCTATATGTAAGGTTTGTATATGCATTCTATACTATCGATACACTGTACAGATCTATACATAATCTATGTTTTATAAAACACGCATATCATGTTAATGGCTCATTCCAGTGTTGGAGAAGTCGTCAAGCCCAGCCATGAACCTTTCCGTCGTATCCCACAACGTGGCAAGGTGGAACTGGATGAAAGGGAGTTGCCAAAGTGTCCAGGTTGCAGCGAGGTAATTTTTGGGTATGTATCTATATACATACATATATATATATATTATGATATATATATATAGCATATATAGAGCTGAACATGGGTACTCTCCAGCAAACTAACACAGCTATGGAATATCCACGATTTGGAGATCATGTTGTCAGGGAATCCCACGGATTTCCATAGCTACGTTAGTTTACTGAAGGGTATATAGTTGGTATATATGACTTGGGATTTTGAGGAGATATTCCTTATATAATGGTAATATAGTGTGGATTTAGATATACCAATGATATGTTTTTTGTGCGGTACCCGAAAATTGCGAATTCAACCCCATGTTAATTTCATTTTGTGAGGCATTTATAGGAATTTGATGATTGACTGATGGATTTAGGCGTACCTAATTTTCAGCCAAAGCAACTTATTCATGAGGATTGATTGGGGGTTACTCCGCTCGGACTTAACGGGTCCATGTTAGTCATGTTAGTGTTATGTGTTTATGTTGTTTATTGTGTTTTCTCTTGCCAGTAAATTTACAGAATCAGAATATATACGTATATACACATCGATAGATCACATGAATCATCATCAGGTGTTCATGTAAACACACATATGTACATGTATAATATATATATATACATAGTATTGTATCCCCTGTGTTGTTGTTTACATCCCTGTTTCACCATTTCCAGATCATACTGCGAAGTGCCTTTGTGCTTCGTGACTGGTGCAAGCTAGCTGTGACTGGTTCGTATCAACAGAACATCTCAATTTATATAGATGTGGGTGATACTGAGTCACAAACACAACTCCCCCAATATATCCAGGGAGAGATTTCCAAGTCGTTCATACCCTAGCAAGAGCTAGGTCTGTTGTATCTCTGGCAGTTCCCCATTGGTCAATCATTTATTTGGATCTCATGATCCTTCACCTTTTCCAAGCCCGAGTCAACTCTGCATACGTTGGAACCACCCATAGAATTAATTAGTAATTAGCTAGTATTAGATGTCCCTATTTTCCCCAGTTAAAACGACGTTTTCCTGATATTCCCATGATCTTCCCATTGAAATGTCCTGACCGATGACCCATTTCCTGTTGATCCACGGATGTTTCGCTGAGGTCCATCAACATGTTGAACTTCCGCGGCAACGTTTGCGCTGAGGCGCCTGACTACAAAGCCAAGCTGCTGGCGTATCTGTCAGGGAGCCCAGGCCCTTCAGGCCCAGCCTTGTGAATCGACCATGGAAGTGGATTATTGTATGGATTAATTAATGACTATTATCAAACTAATTATCTAATGATCAAACTAACTAATTTTGAACCTACTTCCATTGTTTTTTGCTGAGCTAGAGGCATATCTTCATACACGTTCATACCCTGCGAAGAATGAATGCACTTAAGTTCTTGGTATCTTGAGAATCAGACACACCCATTTCCCACATGTTCAGACACACCCATTAATTTTTGTTCGTATCTTCATGTTGGATGACAAGAATTGTCATATGACCCTTATGATTTTTTATTTGCGCATGTCTCGCCCTACACTGGTTCCTCAATGTTTGTGGGAAGCATCGCCTAAGATACATGGGTTGTGAAAAATCATCAACGGTATGTGGAAGGGCACCACACATTACATGGGTTCATATTTTTTGTGGATACCAATGAGTAGTGTTGAAAACCCACGTTGGTTGATGATTTGTCTGGCTCTTATACCATTAAATATATATATACATAGGGAATTTTCATCATCCACTGATGGAATCCCTATCAATCAGTATGATAGAATCACATTGCCCATCTGGTTGCTGATTGAACATTGCAATTACATTATCTGAAACGTCTGAACCTATTCAACCGGTACTGATACTACTAAACATGTTGATTTAATGATATCTCTTGGGATATCATGGCGATATCATGGTGGTTTTTCATGGGGATATACATTATGACTAAAGACGAATGACTGTTTTGAGCATTGCTCAACTGATGTATCGACACATCTCCTTCCTGGGTCTTGTTTGACTGCCAGGCCCGAGTTGGCACAACTCGATGGGGAGGAGGTTGGCGGCCGGCGGTTGCCTCGCTTCGTTGATGGGTGAAAAAATCCAGCTATATCATGCTATATCGTGGGATTGATTCAAGGGAATAAATATAGGAAAGTACGACACTATGTATATATATATATATATATATATACATACTTATAATATATGTATATATATATATATGTGTATATATAATATATATATTTAAATAGATTGTTTTCTGTTTTTACTGTAGGTTTTCCCTTCAACCGATTCTGGGAAGTTGCCTGGCCATTGATCAACCAACCATTGATCCTAACTTCCAGGATTGTCCAAGTGCTTTTTTATCGACCGGGGAATGGAAACTTAGGGTTGGCATGTTTAGGGAGAAGTTATGTTTTGTCCAAACATTGGCTATACACTATATTAATCATATTTTAGGTAGTATTAAATGATATTATTGCTATATTATCATCATTTTAGGTAGTTATATACTATATTATATACTATATTAATCATCATATTATTCCTTTCTTGAAATTGCCATAAATAGGTCGTATGCCCCATTGACCTGACTGACTGTGCTACAGCTGATGGTTCATATGAATTTCCAAAAGATAAGAAAGGTTCAAGTCATGACTTCTACTTTTCTAATGTGGGAAAAACAATGTCATAAACCACCCATGACTTGGAGCGGTTTATACCACCGATTTATGGTGAAATTGGGGATGGTTTATTATTGTTTTACACATATTATTTGTTTTGGGAGGGTCTATTTGCTGTAAGTGGGACCTTACGTTCCATGACATGAGGAAAACCATCTCATTTGTTTCAGGTTTGAGAATGATCATATCCTCACATGGTGACCGTGAATTCCCGCAGAGCCTGACAGAATCCTTTGTTGAAATTATCCGTTACAGTGATGGCCCTTAGTTTGGGAGTATAACTTCTGCAACCAAGGTTAGGCATGACTTAAATGAGGTTATAAACCAGTGATAACTGTTCAGGGCTATGGCTATTTGTATAAAGTTCGGATCCCCATGTCCATCCGGAACATCAAACTGTGGGACAAATGTGCTATTTACCTGGCAGCCGCATGACTTATTCCACCTACCACTACTTCCATTGTAGTGATAGTCACCAAGTACCTATCAAACAAATTGTCAGTAGGAATTCCCACTTATGCAGCAGAACAGTGTGGATTCACTGAATTGATAGATAATCACACACACATACATATATACATATACACATATGTATATGTATATATATATACAGTATACAACATATACATATATATATATATACACACTATGCATATATATATATAACTATAACATAAATTATATTTATACACAGTATATTTATATATATTTTGTGATATATATATATATACATTATATATATAATATATCCATATATTTTCCATAGACCTAACCTTTACGTTGGAAACATGCACCTTACCCAGTCGCCAGCCCTCCCTTGAGCTTTCCAGGTGGAGCTCGGCAGTCGCACTGTGGCACCGGACGCGGCGAATGCCGAGTCTCAATGTCCGGCGACGGACGCGGCAAATGCCGAGGCGGAGGAAGTGATTCTGAACAAAGGGCACGGGGTCCCAGTGTAGCGTCCCGGGAGCCACAAAAATTGGGACGTTGAAGCGGCACAGATAGGGATTCAACCGACCAAAATGATGCAAAAACGATGGATTAAGCAAGAAAACATTGGGATTTATAGTTGATGTGTGGTAGCTAAGTTGGTTTCTGCACTCCAGAAACTGTGATTTATGCATGTTTATGGTAGATATATCTAGATTCCTATGGAACTATGTTTCCATGTCGTGTGTCAATCGCAACACGCGACTCCTCGTGGAACAAAAAGAAGAAAAAGACTGGGCACCACCTCGTGGAATCAGTCAAGTTTTACTGATGGCTGATACTCATCCATAAAATGGCTAAATAGATCTAAATAGATCATAATAGATCTAAAGTATTTTTTAGGTCATTATAGAATATTATAGATCTAAATTAGATCTAAATTAGATCTAAATTAGATCTAAATAGACTCTATGGATGGACTTTATTGATGTCAATTGACTTGCTGTGTTAATCAGTATATATATTTTTTTAAAAATAGTATATAACAAGCAAGTCAATCACTATTAGACTTTATTGATGTGTTAATCACTATAGCCCTTTGTTGGGTTGGCTGAAGCCCCAACTGCTCATCATCCAGTCCTGCAGGTCTAGCTCTGCCTTGGGGGCCTACTGGATGTCACTTGATCGACGCTACCTGGTGGAGTTGTTGTAGCACCATGGGGATCAAGTATCAAAAGAGATATATATATATATATATGTATATATATATGTGTGTGTTATATATATATATTTATGTATGTTCAATAATCATCAATAATCTATGAATGGGCCATTTTCGCTATAGATAACCTCTTGAGGACCCCGAAGAATAGCTACGTTGACGCACTGTTTACCACTGGTTGGAGGTCGTCACCTAGTGACGTTACTGGGAATTGGAGGGGAATCCGTTCAGCTATTCGAAAAGGTTTGTGAATAAGTAATAATAAGTATACTTCAGCCAGAGGGGACTTAACCTTTTTTTGCCCACATTGGAGTTTCACCATGTTTCACCAATCAAAGTTTTTTGTTTTTTCTTTGGATCCCACACCAACAAACACGGATATTTGTTGGTGACCAGTTTGTGGGATTTTTTTTGGACAGAATGGAATTGGGATACATACATAGAACCAATAATGTGATATGTAGATGAAACAAGGGTAATGTGGGGTACGTGGGTTTGTCTCATTTATAACCATTGTAAAGCATGGAAAAACGTGCTACACCACAGGAGTTTGGTGTTGTCCCCAGTGGATTTTTATACCGGTTAGTAAGTGAGTTATTCAAGATGGTTATGGAAGCCATGGCCCACAGACATAGATTAATAAACATATATATATATGTAAAAGTGTGCTTTACCTATTAATTATTAAACATGGAAATTTCCCGAATATATTTCTGCGGGATTTTCACTACCAATTGAGATGCACCAGTAGACTATGAGCCAGAAGCTCCGCCCCCTTATCCAACAAGAATAGTGATAACACAGAGTAACAGTTCGTACTTCCATTTGTAAGCATGGTATTTGACCAATGGAAAGAAAAAAACAAAACAGTTTTTGGGCACACAAAATGTTACTGTACATGGATCAAACAACACAATATGATATATATATAATATGTATGTACCGAACTGTTTCAACTCGCAGACTGGGGGCTTCACTCCACCACAGGAAGCATCCGCGACAAAATGGCTGTTTCATCAGTCAGAGACAGTGATATAAGTGCTGACCAATAATATATATACAATATTATTTAGTATTGTCACATGCTAGCAACCATGTTGGTTCACGGACGAAGACGATGGAAATTCATTGATTCTCACGAGCAGCACACCTTAGATAGCCTAGAAACAGTATGTTTTTTCACCAAGATGGTAGCTGTCAATCAGGGTGATGTGGGAATGGGTCAAAACCGATTACCATATGACTAGGGGAATAACCATCCAGCTATACCAGCTATGACTTAGGGTACCGTTTGGGTATCATGTCACTCCAGGCAGAAAGATCTCTACGCTGGGCTCACAGCAGATGTGAAGGCATGGTGCCCCTCTGCTTTGGAAAAGGGGTCCGAAAAGGGGTCCCCTACTTGAACTTACATCCTAGTTGGTGTTTGTGTGTTAGTAAGGCTACGTAGTAATATGTCTATTCATCAGGTATATCATATTACGACTCAGTTATATGTGAGGTATTAGCCACCTACAATGTTTGACATGGGTATATATGCATTCAGCCATAGTTACAGGATGTTACAGTGGATTATATTCCAACTCATGGTGTGTTATGTTGGCGCGCGCAAACTTGAAGGAGCATGCCGTTTACTTAGTATAAAACGCGGTGATATAAGAACCCCGGCGAATAAGCCCCCGAATACTGGCGTGACTCCAAGTGGAAATTTGACCCTGTTGGGATGCAACAATGTGCCAGGCATCTACAATCATCCATCGATCCATCCATCCATCCATCCATCCATTCATCCATCTATCCATTGATCTATATGTATAATTAATATATGTATATACAAATGTATATAGATACATAGACAGAGGATCACAGGAATGTAGGAAAATATGGTTCGCGGGATCATCCGGGTATGAACCAGGATTTCTTGGTACCTACTATGCTTTTCAATACACAAAATCATTGTCGTCTTTGCTTCAACCACAATTTGTTATTTGTTTACCTATGTTTACCTGGTAAATTCTCAGTTTCCTTGGTAAATCCCGGATTTTTCAATAACACCATGTGGAATCCCCCAAACGAGAGCTCAATTGACCTACCAGTTGCTTAACGTTTGGCTTAGGGGTTGAAAAAGCCTCACCAACATCGGCCTCACCTACGTCGCGTTGCGCAGGACTTTATCGATGCCTACGCCCTGGAATCTCTGGGCACTGAGGACTCACTGGGTCAGAAGGCGGGGCCAGGATGCACTGGGGATGTGAGGGGTGTATGTATTATCTATACATATATATATATATACATAATATATATATATAATACATCTGTGCAAATTTACTCACGACCGAGCCCTGGAATCATGGTTTTTGTAGGGGAATCATCCCACAATGGCCGCAAGTTTCAGGTTAGTGAATTATTATTATTTGCCCAGATACATATATATATATATATATCAACCAACCATCCATCCATCCATCTATTTATATATCTATCCATCTATCCATCTATCTTTGGGGGTTGCTACACCCATTGACATCTTCTCCACTGGTGCATTTGCGATGGTCACTTCAGAAAACAACAAGGCCTTCCTGATGCAGAAAACACACATATTCCCTGTAATGTGGTTAAAACAATAATAAACAATCCCCCACATCACCATTTTCATAGGTGGTAGAAACTTCCCATTCCCAGTCATTGGTGGTTTATGACATTGTTTTTCCAACATTGGATTCACTCCCATCTGGTTTGGAAAAAACCATGTCATCAAACCTTCCGTTCAATGGATTTTTTCCCAGATTTTTCCCAATAGGTGGTATAATCAGTATTTAACCATCATTAAATGGCAAATATCAGTATAATCAGATTTTCATCAGATTTAACCATCTGTATTTAACCATCATTAAATGATTAATCCCAATGGTTAATGATGGTTAAATACAGATGGATTAATGATGGTTAATCCCAATGGTTAAATACAGATGTTTAAATGATTAACCATCAGATTTTCATGATATTCCCAAATTAACCATCTGATCCATCTGGATATTCCCAATGGTTAATGATATTCCCAAATTAATCATTATCATAAATGATTAATTATCATAAATTATCATAAATGGATTAATGATTAATGATATTCCCAGATTTGGTTAAATTAATCCCAATGGTTAATGATGGTTAAATGGTTAATCCCAATGGTTAAATACAGATGTTTAAATGATTAACCATCAGATTTTCATGATATTCCCAAATGGATTCCCAGCGCCCCGTGGGAATCGAATCCCATGAGATCCAGGCCCAAGAAGCGCTGCAGCGCAGCCGCGCACGTCGAGAGGCAAAGCCGTTGCCCACGCCTGCAGGTGGGGAATCGTTGGTGGATGACCGGACTATATAGACAAAACATGGCGTTTTTTTAATCATTTTAATGGGACAATATCAGAGAAGCACCTAGAAATGAAGGTTTCAATGGAATATAATGGAATCTCCTCGTAGTTTCAATGGAGGTTTATAGCTGGGAAAGACATTGAACTATTGCTTGGTGAGGGTATATCGAAACCTGGCCGACCGGCCGATGGTGGATGGCGGTGCCGTGGCTAAAGAAATCGCTCAGTTGGTGAACATACTGTAACTCCAAGAACTAGGATGCATGGTAGATTAATGTAGATTGTATCATGATATATCTGCAATTGGGGAAAACATCATAGTTAATTACTAGGTATAACTCTATAATATCCAGGTTTATGATAGTGTTTTTATCGTCATAAGTAGTTCCAGAATACGTTTTTTTTGATGATGCTTTCACCATCGTTTTTAGGCTTCAGGCTTCTTCCTGTCTATTGCCAGGCTTGTGGAGATCTCACGAGATTAATTTTCTTGGAGGTTTTGAATGATGCTTTTGGATGAGTCAAAACTGACACCAAACTGTATTTCAATGGTAAGGGAAAATAAGGGAAAATTTACAGGAAACCATAGATTGTCCCATTAACCCATTAAATATGGGGCTTTACTGTAAATCAAGCAATCAAGCAAAATCAAGCAAGACATGGAAATTACAAAGATATTCTTGAATTTCCAAGATGTTGCGAAACATAAGATGGGAACGTTGGGGAGATATCGCAAATCCAGGAAACGGTTGTGTTTTAATAGACCCAGAAACACACACACACACCTGGGGATATGGTTTATAGTTTATACAACCAGCACAAATATATATATATATATAATATGTATATAGACATAATATGTATATATATATATATTATGTATAGCTTATATATATATATACATACACATATTTGATGCATCATGGGGGATGCAGCACTTGTGCAGGGGTAGACCCAGCTGTTACCCCGACGCTATGTCCATTACGAGGTAACCACCGGGTGCCCACGGGGTGATATCCCCAATCCCCAAGGGTGCTGCCATTGACATAGGATGCACAAGCCACATAGAAAGTGAATGAACTTCCCAATGTGAATCTTTCAGGTCCTTAGTCCCCATGTTCCAGAGAGTTGGGTCAATTTTACTACTCCCTTTTTCCTCCAAGAAAACATGGCCTTGTACTGGGTTGTTTATTAAAAGTCCCATATTTTATTGGAAGGTTTTTTTTAATGATTCTGATTGGTGAAGGATGATATTAATTGTTCCTCTTATGTTTTGTATATACTTACTTTACGCCGAACAATGTTTTTCCTTAGTCCAATTTGTATGGTTGAGCCCCAATTCTTCATTTGTTTGATGAACGTTTTTTGGTTACACGAACCCATCTATCTTGTGGAAGAATCCGCTTAAACTCTTGAACTTCCCGCGAGGCTTGGATGGCTTCATCAAGACTTGTACATAGAAACCCGGTTGGGTAATCCAACAGGGCAGCCGAATTCCGGTGAAACTTTCGGACACTCATAAAACACGATTCATTTATAACAAAGTCATGGATGATCGTTATAACAAAGGTCATTGATTTATAAATAGGTTGGTTAGATTATCATAAAAGGATAATTCAGTTATAAATGGGTGAAAATCTTGGTTGGAGGTTTTAGATGATTGTTTTGCCAAAGGTCATTGACCCGGGAAACCCTCTGGTAATTGTGCATGGCAACGGACAATTCTAGTTTTGAAATGGACATTGCATGGATTAATATGGGGTAATCATATAGATGAATTATTTTCCATTGCCAGGTGAAAATGATGGAGGTATGCATATGTTTTTCGTTACTTGGAACTGGCGTTCTAACAGCTTAGATTAGCGTAAATGGCCGCCAAAGATGTGGCCTTGAATTCATTGGAGCGAAAAAAAACGGGAAAACAACTCGGATGTGGGTGTTTTAGACAATGGCATGGGTATACTGGTATACCGTTTTGTGGGATAAAATAGGTATATAATGGGTGTGTGTATATATATATAATTATATATTATATATATTATGTCTACTGTGTGTATATATGTATATATATATATATATAATTATATATATATGACTATTATCTATGACTATATTATGAGGATATAATTGTAACCAACAATATGATCTTTAGGAGTGTCTGAAAATGGGGGAATAACCGCCCTACATTGTGTGGCCACTGAGTCATTGATGAGAAAGGATCAACTTTGCTAGATTTTAGTGGTGTTCCATTTGTTTTCAGACAAATCCATGCTGGTTGGTGGTTTGGAACATTTGGATTATTTTTCCATATTGGGAATTTCATAGTCCCAACTGACGAAGTCATATTTTTCAGAGGGGTGGCTCAACCACCAACCAGTATATGAAATATGAGAGGCCAGAACCGACATCAATGGAGCTTCCACCACCTGTACGCTTTGGTAAACGTAGCCTGAAAATCCCCGAAGGATCATGGACATCATGGCCGCCACAGGATTTCAGGCTAGTTTGTTTCATAAAAGAAGTACTGCATTTCCTATTAAAACATAGTTAGTACTTCATTTCCTGTTAAAACTTAAAACATGTCCTACTAAAACATACTCAACACCCCTATTTTTTTGTGTTTTAGTAGTTGTATCTCTAGCCTTGGTTAGATCTGAGACCGGACGGAACTTTTTCTTGGATGAAGCATTAGGCTGAAGGGGTACCTGGCTGAAGTATCAGATGAAATCACCAAAAATTGGGGAGCGCCCTCTGGTAATTTAACATAGCTATTGAACATGGCCATTTATAGTTGATTTACCATCATATATATATACCGTTATATACCACTATAGTATCAGATGAACATAAACTAACAGAACTCTGGAAGATCAACATTTTAATGGCAAAACTATTTCTATGGCCATGGCTTCAATAGCGAACTGTTAGTTTACCAGAGGGTACACCTTGTGTTCATAAACCATGGGTTATAACGTTTATAAATCCGGAGTTCACATTGCATATGTCATGGTTTGCTCACCATCTGAATCGGGCTCAATCGGAGTTGCGGAACCGCAGGCAATGAACTGCAACTGCTGAAAAATATACACCAGTTACATCTACCATCATCAGCATCTACCATTGTTTACCCTGACCGGGTCTTCCTATGGAAGACAACATGTGGAAACTCTTATGGTCTTATGGTACGCTCACTGGGTTGATGAAAGGGACATCTACTGGAAGCCTATCGATTTTTCCCCTGAAAGATCGGGGGGTCCTGTAAAGGAACAGTTAGTGAACAATTGTGAACATTTATTCGGCTACATGTGCAGAGTCTTCCTGTACACTGTCAATTGAAGTAGAGTACCTAGAAAAAATGAGAGAACTGGGGAACTGTATAATGAATGCACACGTTTATTTTCACGATGTTCATAATGCAAATTATCACCTTGATACCGTTTAATGAAAAGTCTGGCAAATTAATCATGGATTGTAGTTGATTTCAATGTAAACTTTGAGACAATGTTCGTTTGACCAGATCCGGAAGCCGCTGCTGTTCAGCTGTTGCTACTGGCTGAGCAGGAGGGTTGGGTTTGACCGGTAAAAAAACGGTGGTTTCACCAACAATAATGGGGAATAATGGGGATTTATAAATATATATATATTTTTATTATATATTATATATATACACTATACTCAATGTATATAACCAACAATATGATCTGGATGGGTGTGTCTGAACACGGTTCATCCCCCCGCAAAAACATGGCAATCTTCATAGAGCGATGGCCCACCAACAGATCTAGGAGTAGCCTACTAGACAAAGCGGCTTGAGCAGGTTCTCTTGGTTGATTATGTCTTAAGACGGTTATACTACCCTTCATATGGATTTGTCTGAAAAAAGGGTATACGACCATTTGCCAAAAATAGTTGACATAAGTTTTGTACTATATAGTTGTTGATAATTAGTGTGAATCTAGTGTTTTTTCCTCTTCGTTATGAGGCGGCAAGCAACTACATTCACCAATTCTGCAAGGCAGCGCTAGCAAACCCGCTAGGTCTGCACTAGTTATTTTTAACATCCATGTTCAAAGATGTTTGTATGTGTTGCCTACTGTTTGGTATTTCAACATGAAGAAAACATAAACTGTAACTTAGCGCCTTCAACCATCTTAAACCTAAGGATGCCTTAGCGAATTTCTGTGCTACTCAACCATTTTCCTATGTTTTTAAGTTTGTCGTTCAATTTTGGGAATTGATGCGTAATTTTACCCGCTAGATCCCCGCTAGCAAAAGTTGCAAAAAGCGGCTTTGGCTGACCCGTGACCCCGTCGCCGTTAGAGAACTTAAGTTTATCCTGTCTGTTTAACAAAAACAACAGTACCAACAAAAACAACGACAAGCCTTGCAGCAGACAAACAATTCTTGAATTTCCACGACTAATGATTAGCAGCGGCACCCACTCCATATAGATGTGCATTAGCATTTCCTGCAGGTTTTAGCTTCGGTTTCAAACATAAAAGATAAAATGCAGGGTTTCAGACTATTTGGATAAGTTGTATTTTTTAAAATTCAAAGATGAAGCGGCACGCATGGAATTACGATTTATAAACCAAACCAGACAAAGACATTTTGACAAACCGTCAAATATGCACCAATGTAATTTTAATGTGAACACATAAACATTTATTATATAAACATCAAATTTCTGGGTATCCTATTTGCAGACAAACCCATATTTTGGGGATGATCATAATCATGATCCATGAGCTAGCAAGCCACATTTTCACCAACCATTCGAAAGGATAAGTTATCATAAGTAATTATGATTTTTGGTGTGTTTCGAACCAGTGATTTCCGGGTGATAAACTTGCCAATTTGCGATAGACGGATAGATGGTATTATTAATACGGGATGCTTTTGGGGACCCTAAAGAATCCACCAGCCACCAGAGAATTATCACACCTCATTGGCACTATGGAGGTGATTGTGAAAATGGGATGATCGGCATGAATAGGAGATGTTTTCAATTGAGGGAGTCATCCACAGGACAACTTCAGAAAAAGTTAAAATAAACTATTGGGATTGGGATTTTTTGGATAGAAACAACAATTTTTTGGATACCCATAGGATCCATGTATGGTATATATGGTAACATTTACCATCAATATATCCCCAATGTTAGCATATATACCAGCACCATGGATCCTATGGGATACGTCTTCCGTGCTCGGAAATGTTGCAGGAACTGATCCAACTACGGTTGCAGATACCCCTGAAATCTCACCAGGGGTCAGCTTTGGATGGCTGTTTTATGTGGTTTTTTGTGGGTAAAACAATGGTTTAATAAACCACCCATGACTGGGAATGGTAAACATACCACCATATACCACCTATAAAAATAGTGATGACTGGGGGATGGTTTAATACTGTTTTACCCATATTCTCTTAGAACGTTAATCTTTTGCCATCAATCATGAGCATATGTTCGCCTACTAAGTAACATAGAACTGCGTCATGTGGCAACTGCCACAAATTTGCTGGGTTTTATGTTGGTTTGTATAGTTTTCATGGTTGTACACAGCCATGAATTTCTTTGGGCATAGCTGGCTGAAAAGAATGGAGGTGAATCATGGCATGGAAACACACGAATTGAAAGTCGGGGCCCGGGGATGGAAAGCCATGGTGACATGATGTTTTTCTGTAGGTTTCTTGGCCTTTTTACTATTTCTAGATGAAACGAATTTCAACAGGAGACACATGGAGTTTCCCACAAAGAATTCATCACAGGTTTTGTCCCCATCCCATTCCAAGGCCACTCAAAGGCACCAGCTGTTGCCATGTGAATATGTACCCAAGGGCAAACCGTATAGCTGTATAGCCATGAAAATAGCCATGAAAATTGCGGGTTGCACCACCAGAACGGGTAGGTGCGAGGGGAAGGGCGAATAGGTGCCATTCCATTGATCAAACGATATAATGGGGTCATTTAATGTGATATTTCATGGGGATTTAGCCGACAACAATGGGAATATAATGGGAATGTAATGGAAAATATGATATACCCAGGATGACAATCAAACATGGATGGAGGTTTAGTTTGCGAATGGAAAATCATCGCTTATTGGTGGATGTTCCAGCTCCGGTTTGATGACACCGGAGGGTCTCTCCATTTGTAAACCCGACAGTCAATCTAGTTGTGTTTTCCCTAGCCTATCATTGACCTATCGTTGTTTTCGCTCCTTCCTGTGGTAGCCAGCAACTTGTCCCAGTCACCAGGAGCCCTTCGTTCCACGGCGAAGCCATGACGACCTCTGCATTTGCTTCCCATGCGACTGCGAGGCGGGAACCAAACGTGCATCCCAGTGGTGGAAAACCGAGGATGGGTTATGGTTATCCAATATGGTCCAAAATGGATCAATAAGTCTATTGAAATACAGTTACATATGAATATAAACATAAATTTATATATATAATATAATATTATATACATGCATACATACATAAGTTCAGAAGTTGGTCAGAGCCACTATAGAGAAACATATGCTAACTGTGCTGATTAAGAAACGGAAACTTAAGGTCCCCAATTAATTGTTAATCGCAGAAATTACTAAGCCCCAGTCAGTCAAGATAAATAAAATTAACTGTCTCAGAATTGGTCTATTGGCAGTTTGAAACCGGACACCCCGATCATAGATCAATTTGGGGGCAAAAACAAGGGTTTGAAACCATGATATGTATATATATATACATCAATTTGGGGGCAAAAACAAGGGTTTGAAACCATGATATGTATATATATATACATACAGTATGACTTTTATTCCAACAAGACCGACATAATGAAACTGGAAGAAAACCATGAGTCACAGTCCAGTCATATGTTGGATATACTCCAGTTGCTTTTTATTTTCAATGGTAGAAAAGATATGATTATCCCCATTGGGGGAGGGGTGGCTGGACCACCGATTGGCCAGTATACATTACTATTATACAATTATATACATGGCTTATTAATCAACTTCTAAGTATCATCCGCAATCCTCACAAAGATTAGGTTTACGGTTTATATCCTAAGAACAAACACTAATATCACCCAGAAACCGTCTGAATAGCTTTTTTTTTCGGATTTGAAGTGTACCTATTTGATGAAGTTACTGCACATGTTGATGATAGATACCAAGCATATTATCAATACCAGTATATATAATATATATACCAATAGATGATAGATAATAGGTTAGTCATACAATAACAATCTAATGAGATATATAATATATATTTTCACTATATATACGTATATATATATATATACATATCAACTGTTGAGTATCTATTTGACGCCTCCGCCGGAGGCAGATCTCGCTGGAGCAAGCTTTTGGGAGAGATCACAGCAGATTCCAGAGGAACAGTGCGCTGCACCGGACTCCTGGCGCCTCGGCGGCGTTTCAGGTGGAGATGTTGGGCTGGGCCATGGAAGGCCTTCCAGATGGAGGAACATTTCCAGATTCGATCAGGCTAGGGCTGGGGTTTCTTACAAAAGTATAGAATTGAAAGATGAGTTTATAATGCAAAACCCATCTATAAATGGATGATTTGGGGGTACCTCCATTTCAGGAAACCTCCATATGCGGCTTTCTTGTAGATTTTCCCGAACAAAAACAATCCAACGAGGGTTTGACATGGTTTGACAACCAACATTACACAGAGAATCTGCCGTACTGAAATTTGGGGCAGAAATCCATTGCATTGTGGTATCAGATCCAGTGGCTTTGAAAAATCCCGAGTTCTACATATCTTGGCTCAAAACTGAAGCTACTGTATCGACATTTCATACTCTCTGACCAGATGACCAATGGCTGCACCTTCTTTCTCTTCGAAGACATTTGGAGCTTCATTTTTCACCTTGTTCATCCTGTCCCTGGCAGCCGAGCCGACATGTGAGGCCCAGCTTTTAGAAGTTTCGTCCCTCTTGCAGACAAAGGTCCCCAAGAATGTCAGTGATCTGCTGTATGAAGCGGCCGGAAGGAGCTCCGTGGGCTTTAGCCAGGAGATCCACCAGGAAGAACGAGGACAACCAGGACCGCAAGGCAGTGCGGCAGCAGCGGATGCGGTGGCCGTTTTGTTGCTTCTTCTCCAGGTTGCAGCAGTGAGTCCACTGGCATACTATGATTCTTTCTCAGCTTTGTTGGTGATCCTCCTCTACCTCAGTAGCGTGACCTCCGTGAAGTTCTTCGTCAAAGATACCATCAATCACGGCTTTCCCTATCCTGCGTGCATCACCGGCTTTCATATGATCGCCGTTTGCATCACGATCTTTGCATGGGGAGAGCGTCCTCAGTGGAAAGAGGCCATGGCAGTTTTGCCCATTTCCCTGTTGAATAGCGCATCACTTTTGACCAACAACGCTGCTTTGGTTTTTGGAGGCTTAGCCTTCGTCTCCATGATCGATGCCATGGGGCCTTTCGTGACCTTCCTCTTGGAAGTGGCCAAAGGAACACGGCCCTGCTTCCACCTGATGACCATCTTCTCTGTGACCATCGCGAGCGTCGGCTCCGTCCTATGCGTTCGCGGGGAAGCCAGCACAGTGAACGGTATCAGCGCTATGGCCATCACGTTGGCTGGGATCAGCGCCGTCTTGCGCTCGATGCGGGCCGTGTGGCAACACGACCTCCTGACTGACAAGTCCATCACCGTGTCGCCCTTGCAGCTGGTGTTTTGGAATGGCTTTTGGGGAGTTTGGATGACCATGATCTCCATGATGTTCAGCAATGAGCACTTTGAGGGCATTCAACGCCTTAGCACCATGTCAACTTCAGCCAAGCTATTTCTCTTCTTCTCTATCCCCGCGGCGGTCGTGCTAAACATCACCCAGTGGTACGCAGTGAAGAAGCATGGAGCTCTCATGCAGAACATCATTGGGAACCTGAACTTGGTCACGGTGATTGCCATTTCCAAGGCCATTTTGTTCGAGGAGGTGACCTCTACGCAGTACATTGGGACGATCCTCCTGGTTTGTGGCACCATCCTGAACAAAGCAATGGACGTCAGCAGACACAGCTTGGAGAAATGAAGCAGTCAATTCGGTCGAAAAGTCGCGTGAAAAAGTGTTGCAGAATGACATGTGCAGTAAATCTAATTTGCACATATACAATCATATACAACGTGGGGCCCTGGAGATATCGAAGTTGGTTTGTAACTCCACTAACTAGGGTTTGTGGTAGATATATCATGATATATCATGATATATCAGATATATCATGATATATCAGATATATCATGATATATCAGATATATCATGATATATCTATCGTTACTTTGGTTTATAAACCAACTTAAAATTAGGGGGGCCCACTTTGTACAATGTGTGTATATATATATAGAGTAGCATATTAGGAGGTTTTCATAAATGGGGGTACCCATGGGTACCCCAATAGCTGGATGGCTTATAATGGAAGCTCCTTTTTCAAAATGGAAAATTTAGGGGTACCCCCATGACTTAGGAAATCTCCATATGATAATTAAAAACCAAAATA